GTGGGGAAAAATCACAATAGTGTTGGCGAGAGTGTGGGGAAGTGGGGACAGTGTATCATATATGGTGGGAATGTCCAAAAATTCAAATATTCTGGAAAACAATAGTACATTTAATAGAGACCATTACTGAAATGAATATCGGGTTAGATCCAGGGATGTGTTTGTTGCACAACTCAAAGCTATCAGTTAGCAAATATAAGAAATTAGGTTTAGGGTATTATATGAACGCAGCAAAGAGTCTGATCCCCAAGTATTGGAAGAAAATAGAAGTACCGAAGGAGGAGGATTGGATAGAAAGAGTAAACTGGATTAGTAAGATGGAGAAGTTATACTATATGCAGGAAGACAAGATGGAGGTATTTTCGGTGAAATGGGAAAAATGGGAAAATTTTGTAACAAATGCGAGAAAGTGAAATGTAGAAAGATATAGACTTGATAGATGGATAGGAAATGCTTGCTTTGGGAAAAAAAAAAAAAAAGGTAGTAAAAAATGCAGAGTGGGAGGGGGTTCTGGGGGTGGGGTAATGTACTAAGAAGGGGAAAAATAAAGTAATAAAAAACATTGTATATTTATTATGAATAAGATGAAAGTGTTCTTTTGAAAGTATTCTTTTTTTGTGTTTTTTTGTTATTACTGTGAAAAAAAAATAATAAATATTTAAATTAAAAAAAAAAAATGAAACACTTCTCCAGGATTCAGAGGTGGATCAAAGAATCAAAAAGAATCAAAGAAAAAAAAAAGAAATAGAGCAATTATTTGAGGAAAATGATTCTGGGGAAGTGTCCGTGGCAACGGTGTGGGAGGCTCATAAGGCCTATATTAGAGGAATCCTGATAGCGATTGGAACAAAAAAGAAGAGGAAAAATAAACACGCTTCTTAGTGAACTCTGAGTTAGAGCAGATACATAAACATAAAGTAACAAAAGAGATTATGCAGAGGGTAATAAATAAAAGAGAAGAATTAAATACATTTCTGGAAGAAGATAAGAGAAGAGTGTTCAATAAAATGATAAGTGAGAGATACAGATGGGGAGATAGACCAGGAAAGTATTTAATGAGGGCTCAGAGAAAAAAAAATCTAGGAACTATATAGAGAAAATAAGAGACCACAAAGGAGAATTAATGTATTCACCAAAGATATAGCTAAAGTGTTTAAAGAATATTATAATAAGCTATATAATATTATTCCCCACAGCTCCATAAGTAAAGATGAAGGAGGAAAAATAGAAAAAAGACAGACATATTTAAAAAGGCAGGATTACCAAAATTGAGGAGCAATTAAAATCCCTAGAATCAGCAATAAAGAAGGAGGAAATACACTTAGCATTAAAGAGCACTATAGCCGGGAAAAGTCCAGGACCTGATGGATGCACAGTGAGATATTACAAAAAATATAAAGAATTATTAGTACCTAAAATGAGGATATATATGAATGCATTGGGAGGAGAGATGGAAATGACGGGATCCCTACAAGCCTCATAGTTCTCATACATAAGGAAGGTAAAGATGATACTCACTATTCAAGTTGCAGACCGATTTCCTTATTAAACACAGATACCAAACTATATGCAAAAGTTCTGGCAAACAGGTTGAAAGACCTAATGTCGGAATGGATACACATAGACCAAGTAGGCTTTGTCCCAGGGAGAGAAGATAGAGATAACGGACTGAGATCTCTGTTTCTCATACAAAAAAGTAGGAAAGAGAAAATCCCTGCAGTGGTACTCTCTATCGATGCTAAAAATGCATTTGATAGAGTAGATTGGGGATATATGTTGGATACATTGGAAGTATTGGGGATGGGACCTAGAATGAGAGAGTGGATAAGGAAATTATATAGTCAACCCTCTGCAGCAATCATGGTTAATGGGGAATTGTCAGAGTATTTTGGGATGCAGAACAGAACTAGACAGGGATGCCCTTTGTCTCCATTGCTATATGTTTTATCATTGGAATCTCTTTTGGCTACAATAAGGAATAATATAGATATAAAAGGAATTTGGATAGGAGATGCGGAGCATAAGGTGGCAGCTTATGCAGATGACATGCTGTTCTATGTGGGAAACCCAAGGATAACATTGCCAAATTTAATGAAATCACTAACAGAATATGGGGAGATGTCAAATTTAAAAATTAACCCAACAAAAACAGAAATTTTAAACATAAATCTTCCAAATAGAGAGAAAAATAGGTTACAGGAGGAATTTCCCTTTGGAGAGAAAAAGAATTGAAATATCTAGAAATATCTAGGAATAAAATTAACTGTATCCTCCAAGAACTAGTATAATTGTACTTATATCCCATTGTTAAATGAGATCAGGGATGAACTAAGGAAATTAGGAGGGGGGACCCCGTCATGGATAGGTTGTATAAATTTGATAAAAATGGTGATTGTTCCAAAAATATTATATGAATTTCAAATGATACCAATTAAACAAACCAGAAGTATACTTTAGATCAATTAAAAAAATGTTAATAAGATTTATTTGGAGGAATAAAAAACCGAGAATAAGCCAGGAAATTTTATGTAGAAATAAAGAGAAAGGAGGATTGGAAGTCCCAGATTTAAAAAGACATATAACTCGGTAATAATGGCGAGAATTTTTGACTGGACATATAATGCAGAGGGGAAAAGCTGGGTTAAAATAGAAAATATACTAAGTAATACTAAATTAAGTGGATTTGTATGGTTACCTCCACAATACAGAGGATTAGCAGACAGTACAAGTTTGTTCACATTTAATGTTTTAGGACTTTGGGATGTTTTACACAAACAGATGGGATGGGAATTTAATTCATTGTTAATGCCCTTAAAGTCCACAGAGTTTTTCCCTCCGAGTAAAGAAGGTATCACAGGGAAGTGGATTAAGAAGGAAGATGCAGCAAATAGGATCACTTAAAAAATTAGAAAAAAAAGAAGTTTTTACGAGATTGGATGAGTGGCATTATTTTCAATTGAAACACTTTATAGGTGTCAGAGGAAAAGCCCAGGCAAATGCACCAATGCGCAATATGGCCACACCAATTCATGCAATGAAGTGCGCATGTGCATAGGCGGGCGTCACATAATAAAACATTCCTGTGCACGAAAACACACCAGCACATGCAGGGTGCACTAATTGCTGACACTCAGTGGCCTTTATAAGGACTGCAGCTCTGCTCAGTGGTTGCTAGATTATCGTCAGTGCCTCCCGTTCCTGTGTTTCTGAGTTCCTGAGTTTCCTGTTGATTTCCTGTTACCGACCCAGCTTGATTCTGACCTTGTTCCTGTCCGCTGCTCCGTGTATGACCCTGGCTTGATCCTGACCTTGCTCCTGTCTGCTACTACCCTGTGTTTGACCCTGACTTGATTCTGATGTTGCTCCTGGCTGCTGTTCTATATTAATCCTGGCTCTGGCTACTGACTACTCTACCCATCCTTCGGGATCCACGTGTTCTCTGGAGAAACGCATCCTGCAACTGGAGCACCCACGGGTTCCATATCATGAGGCATTTCCTAGCAGCAACACCACTGGCAACATGTGCTTCTTTGGGCACTGCACCTCCTGTTTCCACCTCCAGGGGAGCACTGCACATAGCCGTAAGGGGAGCCCTCTCTCTACTACAGCCTCCAGTCAGGTACGTGACAGTATAATCCAGCCATAATGTCAGAGGCTGAGAGAGGTGTCTCCCCGATAGAGGCTCTGTGCCAGCAGGTTGCCGCCCTCACGCATGCGGTCAAGAACCTACAAGAGGGATATTTCCAATTAGAAGGTTGCCTGCAGAATCTTGCCACGCCTTCATCTCCTGCTGACCAAAACCCACCCAGGGCACCCTCTGCATTCTGTTCAAGAAGGCCCTGCAGTCACTCCTACAGTAATGCTACCTCCGCCAGAGCCAAGAGTAACAGTCCCGGAACGCTTTTCTGAAGATTGTCGAAAGTTCAGGGAGTCTGTTATATTTGGCACTTCAACCCAGAACTTTTTCTTTAGAGTCTGTGAAGGTGGGGTTCATCACCTCGCTACTTACTGATGAACCGCAGTCCTGGGCACATCACCTCCTGGAGCAAAATAGCACAGTTCTGAATGCTTTTACTACCTTTTCCAACACCATGTCCCAACTATATTATGATCCCCAATGCATGGCCACAGCAGAAGCTGCCCTTCACTCCCTCCAACAAGGTCGTCCAACCGTGGAAGATTATATGGTTGAATTCCGTAAATGGTCAGCAGACACAGGCTGGAATGAAGCTGCCCTCAGATACCAGTATCGGCTTGGTCTCTCTGATGGACTCAAAGACAAATTAGCCAGAGTTGAGGCTCCTACCTCTCTTGAAAACCTCATCCAGTTGGCCATCCAGCTAGACCGTCGCCTGCGGGAACGGCGATCATAAAGATCTAATTTCTACCGTCCATCCTGGATGCTACCCAAGGTGCCTTCCTTCTCTGCCCCTCTGCCTACTGTGCCACCGGCTCCTGTTGCTGAAACTGAACCTATGCAGATTGGCCTAGTTCGCTCCTCCTTGTCCCCAGATGAAAAGACACATCGGAGACAGTCCAACCTATGCCTCTACTGTGGAGTGTCTGGACATTTCTTACGAAATTGCCCTGTGAGACCTAGTAAGTTTATCTCTCCACGCGCTATGTACTCAGATTTCCGGATCATTACCAGTAGAGATGAGCGAATCGAAGTAGGCGAAGTGGAATTCGTTTCGAATATTAGGAAAATTTCGATTCGCGTCGAATCCGAAAATAAGCAGACTTCGGATGCGCGAATCGAAATTTTTCCTAAAATGGCGGCGACATGTGCGGCGACGGAGCGGGGATGTCTGGGAAGGCGCGCAGACAAGGCGCGCTGACCCATAATGCATTCATTCATGACATGTGATCGCATTAGCCAATCAGCAGCCAGCCAGCCAGCACAGTGTAATGGTCGAGCTATAAATAGCGGCCATTTTAGAATTCTCCATTTGCCTCCAGTCATTTTACTGAGGGATACAGAATTGTTACTGAGGGCCACAGAATCGTTACTTAGGGCCACAGAAAAACGTTACTTAGGGCCACAGAATTGTTACTTAGGGACAGACACAGAATTGTTAGTGAGGGACACAGATTTGTTACTGAGGGCCACAGAATCATTACTTAGGGCCACAGAAACGTTACTTAGGGGCACAGAATTGTTACTTAGGGACATCAGACACAGAATTGTTATTGAGGGACACAGAATTGTGTTACTGAGGGCCACAGAACCGTTACTTAGGGCCACAGAAACGTTACTTAGGGCCACAGAATTGTTACTTAGGGACAGACACAGAAAATGTTACTGAGGGACACAGATTTGTTTTTACTGAGGGCCACAGAATCGTTACTTAGGGCCACAGAATTGTTACTTAGGGACAGACACAGAATTGTTATTGAGGGACACAGAATTGTTACTGAGGGCCACAGAAACGTTACTTAGGGCCACAGAAACGTTACTTAGGGCCACAGAATTGTTACTCAGGGACAGACACAGAATTGTTATTGAGGGACACAGAATTGTTACTAAGGGCCACAGAAACGTTACTTAGGGCCACAGAAACGTTACTTAGGGCCACAGAAACGTTACTTAGGGACACAGAATTGTTACTCAGGGACAGACAGAATTGTTACTGAGGGATACAGAATTGTTACTGAGGGCCACAGAATCATTACTTAGGGCCACAGAAACGTTACTTAGGGCCACAGAATTGTTACTTAGGGACAGACACAGAATTGTTACTGAGGGACACAGATTTGTTACTGAGGGCCACAGAATCGTTACTTAGGGCCACAGAAACGTTACTTAGGGCCACAGAATTGTTTACTTAGGGACACAGACACAGAATTGTTATTGAGGGACACAGAATTGTTACTAAGGGCCACAGAAACGTTACTTAGGGCCACAGAAACGTTACTTAGGGACACAGAAATTGTTACTCAGGGACAGACAGAATGTTACTGAGGGATACAGGAATTGTTACTGAGGGCCACAGAATTTTACTTAGGGGCCAGGGAAGAAACATTACATAGGGCCACAGAATTGTTTACTCAGGGACAGACACAGAATTGTTACTGAGGGACACAGAATTGTTACTGAGGGGCCACAGAATCATTACTTAGGGCCACAGAAACGTTACTTAGGGCCACAGAATTGTTACTTAGGGACAGACACAGAATTGTTACTGAGGACACAGAAATTTGTTTGAGGGCCACAGAAAACGTTACTTAGGGCCACAGAAACGTTACTTAGGGCCACAGAATCTTATTAGCGGGCCACAAAACGTTACTTAGGGCCACAGAATGTGTTACTTAGGGACAGACACAGAATTGTTATTGAGGGACACAGAATTGTTATGCTGGGCCACAGAACCGTTACTTAGGGCCACAGAACGTTACTTAGGGCCACATAGAAACGTTACTTAGGGACAGACACAGAATGTGTTACTGAGGGTACAGATTTGTTACTGAGGGCCACAGAATCGTTACTTAGGGCCACAGAAACGTTACTTAGGGCCACAGAATTGTTACTTAGGGACAGACACAGTATTGTTATTGAGGGACACAGGAATTGTTACTGAGGGCCACAGAACCGTTACTTAGGGCCACAGAACCGTTTACTTAGGGCCACAGAAACGTTACTTAGGGACAGACACAGAATTGTTACTGAGGGGACACAGATTTGTTACTGAGGGCCACAGAAACATTACTTAGGCCACAGAAACGTTACTTAGGGCCACAGAAAGTTACTTAGGGCCACAAGAATTTGTTATTAGGGCCACACAGAAACGTTTACTTAGGGCCACAAGAATTGTTACTTAGGGACAGAACAGAATTGTTACTGAGGGACCACAGAATTGTTACTCAGAGGGCCACAGATTCCGTTACTTAGGGCCACAGAAACGTTACTTAGGGCCACAGAAACGTTACTTAGGGCTACAGAAACGTTACTTAGGGCCACAGAATTGTTACTTAGGGCCCACAGAATCGTTACTCTTAGGGACACAGAAACCGTTACTTAGGGCCACAGAAACGTTTAACTTAGGGCCACAGGAATTGTATAGGGAAGAACAGAATCAGAATTGTTATCTGAGGGGACACAGGAATTGTTCTACTGAGGGCCACAGGAATGTATAGGCCCAGAATTGTACTTTAGGGCAGTAACAGAATTGTTACTTAGGGACAGACACACGAATTGTTACTTGAGGGACACAGAATTGTTACTGAGGGCCACAAACCGTTTCTTTAGCGGCCACAGAAACGTTACTTAGTGACACAGAATTGTTACTTAGGACTGACAGAAATTTGTTACTTGAGGGACACAGAAACGTTACTTACTCAGGGAACAGAATTGTTACTCAGGGCATTCACAGACGGAAACGTTTTAGGATACAGAATTGTTACTTAGGGCCACAGAAACTGGTTACTTAGGCCAAAGAATTAGTTACTTTGACTAGACACAGAATTGTTAACATTGAGGGGACACAGAATTGTTACTGAGGGTCACAGATTTGTTACTGAGGCCACAGAATGTTACTTAAGGGCCACAAGAAACGATAGTGGACAACACATAATCTGTGTTACTTAAAGAAAGACACAGAATTCTGTTACTTAGGGCCACAGAATGATGTTACTGAGTATATGGGGACACAGAATTGTTACTGAGGGACACTAGTAAGAACCAGTGTTCAGACAAAATATGTAGTCTTGAGGGACACAGAATTGTTATGCAGTGACCACGAGAATGCTGTTCTCAGGGCCACAGAAATGATATAATTAAAAATACCAAAAGGGACACACAGAATTGTACTTCGGAGCAGCACAGAAACTGTACTTTAGGGCCACAGAAAAGTTACTTGAGGACACGCAGAATTGTTACTCATGACTAGAACAGAATTGTTACTGAGGGACACAGAATTGTTTACTGATGGGACACAGAATTGTTACATGTGCTGGGCACAAGAAAACGTTACATCAGGGACAGACAAGAATTGTTACTCAGGACAGACACAGAATTTGTTATGATGGACACACATTAATTGTTACTGAGGGCCACAGAATGCGTTACTTAGGGCCACAGAAAACGTTCACTAATGTAGGGGACCACAGAAACGTTATTAAGGGCCAAGAATTGATACTTAGGGCCCAGAACCGTTCACTTTTGTGGCCACAGAAATGTTACTGTAGGGCAACTGAACGTTTACTTAGGCACAGAATTGTTACTGTAGGGCCACTTGAATAGAATTTTTGTAGGGATAAAGACACAGATAACGTGTTACTCATGGGACAGTAATCAATACTTGTTTAACTCAGGGGACGACAGAATTGTTAAGTGCCACAACCGAATTATCTGTGAGGGCTATCAGAAACGTTTACTAGTGTTAGAACCTTAACACAGAATTGTTGTGGGATCACAGAAAATTTTTCTTCCTATTCTTGGATTCAGGGCAAACACAGAATTGTTACTAGAGGAACACAGAATTGTTACTGAGGCTATCAATAAACGTTACTGTAGGGCCACTGGAGTAACGGTTTACTCAGTGACACAGAATTGTTATTGTGGACAGTCACAGAATTGTACCCTCATAAGGGATGCAGTTGTTACTCAGGGAAACGAATTTTTACTGAGTTGGGCCAAACAGAATCGCTACTTAGGGCCACAGAATACCCGTTATTAGGGCACACAGAAAGAGTTACTTAGGGTAAAACACAGAAATTGTTATTGAGGGACACAGAATTGTTACTGAGGGGCCCAGAAATGTTACTGAAAAGGGCGGCAGAACTGGTTACTTAGGGCACAGAATTGTTAATTAGGGTGCTTGGACACAGAGCATTGTTACTGAGGGACAACATAGAATTGTTACTGAGGGGAACACAGAATTCGTTACTTGGAGGGCACAAGAATTGCATTACTCAATCAGGCGAGCCAGGAGCACAGGAATTGTCTTAGTCGAGGGACACAGAATTGTTACTGAGAGGCACAGCAATCGTTACTTAGCCACAGAGAATCGTTACTATTTGTCCACCGAAGTGTTACTCAAGAGGACAGACACATCGGACTTTGTTATTGTGTGACACACCGAATTTGCTACTGAGGGCCACAGAACTGTTACTTAGGGCCACAGAAACGTTACTTAGGGAGCACAGCGAATGTTACTTAGGGACAGACAGAATTTGTTACTGAGGGACACAGTAAAATGTTGTTAGTGAGGGTCCACAGAATTGTTACTGAAGCGGGCCACAGAATCGTTACTTAGGCCACACAGAATTGTTACTTAGGGACAGCCACAGAATTGTTTACTCAATGACAGACACAGAATTGTTACTGAAGGGACATCAGAAATTTGTGTTACTGAGGGCACACAGAAATGTTACTGTGAGGGCCACAGAAACGTTACTAGAGGGGCACACAGAATCGTTACTATAGGGCCACAGAAACGTTAGCTTAGGGCACACCGAACGGTTACTTAGGGGCCCCAGGTTCCTTAGTAGGCAACAGAAATGTTACTTAGAGGACACAGAATTGTTACTCTAAGGGACAGACACAGAATTGTTACGTCAGGTGGACAAAATACAGAATTGTACTTCACGGAGGGCCACAGAAGACTAGTTACTCGATCAGGGCCACAGAAAATGTTACTTAGGGACACAGAATTGTTACTTAGGGACAGACACGCAGAATTGTTACTGAGGGACACAGAATTGTTACTGAGGGCCACAGAACTGTTACTCTAGTGGCCACAGACTGAATTGTTACTCTTAGGGACACAGAATTGTTACTGAGGGCCACGAGACCGGTAATTGTTTACTGAGGGCCACAGAATTGTTAACTCAGGAACACAGTAGAACTGTTACTGAGGACGCACAGAATGTGGTTACTTGAGGGGCCACAGAATTCAGTTTACTTAGGGACAACATCAGAATTGTTAACTCAGGGACACAGAATTGTTATGAGGGCCACAGAAACGCTACTTAGGGCCCACAGAATCGTTTACTTAGGGTCCACAGAAAACGTTACTTAGGCCACAGAAACTTTCCTTAGGGCAACAAAACGTTACTTAGGACACAGATTTGTTACTCAGGGGACAGACACCAAATTGTTACTCCAGGGACACAGAATTGTTACTGAGGGGACACAGAATTGTACTGAGGGACACCGAATTGTTTACTGAGGGACACAGAATTGTGTACCAGGGACAGCACAGAATTGGTACCAGGGGCAGAACAGAATTGTTACTGGGGACACAGAATTTTATGAGGGACACAGAATTGTTAATGAGGGAACAGAAATTTTTACTGAGGGCCAAGAACTGTTTCTTAGGGCCACAAAACTTACCAGGGACACGAATTGTATCAGGGCAGACACAGAATTGTTACTCCGGGACACGAATCGTTGAATTAAAAAGTATGTCAACAACATGCAGAGGGTGGGGAGAGGGGGCAAATTTTTGGAGCGAGCGGACCTGGCAGCAGAGGGAAAGGGGGGGAGGCAGCAGTATTCTCAGCCAG